AAAAAAAAGATTTGACTACAAGTTTTTGGAAATTGGTTGCCTTTTCCCAGTTTTCTATATCAAGCAATTTTAGATTGTGTTCTGGACATTGTAAGTTTGTTTTGTGGATTCTGGGTCCTATCATAATCCTATGGAGAATGGTATTTGTTTTTACTTATGAATAGGAAATCAGCATGATTAGTTTCAGAGCTCATGTTTTGTCTTTGTTCTGTGGGAGTTGGGCAGTTCTGATCTCTGTTAATTTCCAAAAATTTGTTTTACTGTTTTGAATCTGTCCCATTTATGCATATGGGATGAGCCTGCGACTGGTATGGGTTCATACAAAAAGTTCAAAGATCCTCCTTTTCCAGTTTTCTTCTTTGGAATTCCCCCATTATTCTTCCATTTCCTCTGGCCTGAAAGAAGGGCTTTATGTTGGAATTTTAACCACTGCTGTACAGTTCTGTAGCAAAGCCTATAGAGAACAAAACAAACAAATCAACAGCAACCAGTGCCAGCCTTCCTACCCCTATGTCCCATGTGAGACATTTACTAAGTTTTAACTCCTTTCCACAATCTGCCTTTTTTGTTTGCCTTTCAGAGGAATTTTTCAGATTTGTTTTTGTTGAGATATGTTGGTTTTTGTATGTTCAGAATTTTTATTAGTTTTTAGAGATCGGGTCTCCCTTTGCCATCCAGAGTGGCAGAGTGCAGTGGCACAATCATAGGTCACTGCAGCCTCGAACTTCTGGCCTCATGTGATCCTCCGACTTAGGTCTCCCAAAGTGCTAGGATTACAGGCATGAGCCACTGCACTCAGCCTTGTATGTATGTCTAGAGTTTTTAGTTATAATCTGTGAAAGAGGCTGTAGTGGGTTTATTCCATATTTACTGGATGGAACTGTTTCCTTTTTGGTGTTTTCCTTCATTCTTCAGGCACCTTACTATATAAAACTAGCAGCATTCTTTAGTTGCATTCTAGGCCTGATAATTCAAGTTAACACCTTAATTGGACTTGATTTCATTTTTTCTATATCTTCTCAAGCTTATTCTGTTTTTAAATTTGTAATATATGACTGTGTGTGTGTGTGTGTGTGTGTGTGTGTATGTGTACGCGCGCACACACGCGCATTGGAATCTCACTCTGTTGCCCAGGCTGGAGTGCAGTGGCACGCTCACGGCTACCCCAGTGTTGTTGGCCTGCTGGGCTCAGGGATCCTTCCACCTCAGCCTTCCAAGAAACTGGAAGTACAGGCGTGCGCTACCATGTCCAGCTAATTTTTTGATTTATTGTAGAGACGAGGTCTCTATAATTTGCCCAGTCTGTTCTTGAACCCATGGGCTCAGGTAGTCCCCTCACCTCGGTCTCCCAAAGTGCTGGAATTACATGCTTGAGCCACTGCACCTGGCTAACTTTGTCTTTTATTTATAAATTTTAACTTTATCAAATGGTAATCTCTCCAGTGTAATGAAAAGAAATTTTTTTTAAATTACCAGTTATACTCTCAAAGTTTATGTGTACTTCATTATTGCTTTCTGTCTGTACAGACTACAAATTACTTGATTTCAAGAAAGTATCTGTGATATCTTTTTGGATCTTATAATGATATAGTTAATATAATGATACATAGGAAAGGTGAAATTTGCAGCTGTTTGATCAGTTACATTCAAAGTGATGTTGATTCATGGATTGTAATTTAGAGGAGTGTCTGTTGGAAAGCCACAGTGTTTTCTTTAGTTCTGACGTATCCAGTGTTTCCCCTGCCAGTGATTTAAAATAAGATGAAATTTTTAACCTTGTAAAGACTACTGGGAAACTTAGATGAAAAAATTAAATGTACAATTAAATTTCAAAGTGAAGTGGATCAGAATACACATGATGAAATTAAATAGATATACATGTAAAGCCTTTTCTTTACATTCTCATGATTGACTGCTTATGTAGAGAATGAATAAGATATGATTTCGTAGCAATTTTAGATGAAAACAAGCACACGGATGATAGTTTATTGAAGACAACATGGATTAGTAAGGAGAGTTAAGAAGTAGAGAAAGCTGACATCATCTAAGGTTGAAAAGTGCCCCTTGTACTTTACTCTGATGTGATTATACCTCATCTGCCTGTTGATGAATGGTCAGAGGAAGTGAGAATGTTTCACCTGGAAAACTCTGAAAGAAGACTTGTTAACAGCTCAGATATTTGAATGGCTTTACTGTGGAGTAAAAGATGCTAGGTATCCTTTATACTAGGTTGACAGGAGCTACGGGCACCTTCCAGTTATAATTTGTGTGATTTTCATTGATACATTAAACATGATTTTTTACTTTGTGAAGTTATTTCTATTGTTAAATGTTGGTCTCTTTGCTATCAGAAAATACTTTGTCTCATTTTTAGGTACCACAACTAAATCTTTCCTTTGTTATATTGGCAGTCTTGATTCACTGGTATAAGTGTGTTTTGCCTTTGGCTAGTTGGCTGTTGATAGAGAAAGATCTTTTCCCGATATTGTGAAGAGAGAAGTTTGTCAGGAGTAGTGTCAAGAAGCAGGTTGGGCGTTTTTTCTTTTCTTTTCTTTCCTTCTTTCTTTTTTTTTTTTTTGCATTTTTCATATTACAAGGTCATTAAGCTGGATTTCAGAAGTGTGTAAGATCTTATATTGCTTTCTTTTTGTTGAAAAAAAGAAAAAAAAAGCTTCAGTTGATGACATTTAGGTCATTTCCACTTTTGGCTGTTATGAATAATGCTGATGTGAATACTCGTGTACAAGATTTACATGAGCATATGATTTTTTTTTTTCTCCTGGCTATATATGCATGAGTGAAATTGCTTAACCATATGGTGACTATTGCTTAACCTTTTAAGGAATTGTATATTCACTTATTTTAGGTGTACAGTTCTATGGTTTCTGACAAATGAATAGTATTTATAACCCTGCTACATTGAAGATACAGAAAAGTACACTTCATCTAATTGTATTCCTTCAGTGCTGTCTCTTTGTGGATAAATTCTCCTTCCAACCCTTTGCTCTTGGCAACCACTGGACTGTTTTCTTTCTCTATAGTTTGTCTTTCCCAGAATGTCATATAAATGGACTCACAGTCTTTTTGAGTCTAGCTTCTTTTACTTAAAATAATTAGCATTTGAGATTAATTCATGTTGTTGTCTCTATCACTAGTTCATTCCTTTTTAGTGCCAGTAGTATTCCATCATGTGGATGTACCATAGTTTATCCATTCACGAGTTGAAAATATTTGGATTGTTTCCAGTTTTTGGTCATTATGAATGAAGCTGTAGTGGATGTTTGCATACAGGCTTTTATGTGAATTTAAGTTGTCATTTCTCTTGGACAAATACCTATGAATGGGATTGCTGGGTCATATGGAAGGTGTATGTTGAACTTTATGAGGTGCTGCCAAATTGTTTTCCGAAGTGGCTATGCCATTTTGTAATCTACTCACAATGTATGAGATTTCCAGTTGTGTCTCATCCTTGCCAGTACGTGGCATTGTCATCTTTTTTATTTTTAGCTAATCTAATAGGTATAGTAATAGCTCATTGTGGTTTTAATTTGTATTCCTTAATGCTGTTCACCATTGTTTCATGTCTTTATTTGCCACCCGTACATGATAAGGTGTCATCTTATCAAAACTTTGACCCATTTGAAAAATTTTAGATTAAGTGTCTTATCATTGAATTTTGAATTTCTTTATATATTCGGAATGCAAATTCTTTCTTATTTTTAAATTTTACTTATTTTTATTTGAGACAGTCTCAGCAAGTTGTTTCACTTCTTAAGATAATGACCTTCAGTTCCATCCATGTTGCTACAAAAGACATGATTTCATTCTTTTTTTTTTTTTTTTTTTTTTTTTGAGTTGGAGTCTCACTCTGTCGCCCAGACTTGAGTGCAGTGGCCGCTTCCGGCCACCGCAGCCTCAACTTGCTGGGCTCCGGCGATCCTTCTGCCTCAGCCTTCCAAGTAGCCAGAATTACAGGCATGCACTACCACGCCTGGCTGATTTTTTGATTTATTGTAGAGATGAGGTCTCGCCACCCAGGCGGCTCTCAAACCCGCGGGCTCAGGCAATCCACTCACCTCAGCCTCCCAAAGGTGTGGGATTACAGGCTGAGCCACCGAACCCGGCTGATTTCATTCTTTTTAAATGGTTGAATATATTCCATTGTGCACATTTACCATTTTATGGATCCAGTCATTGTTGATGGGTATCTGACTTTGGTAGTATACAAGCTGGGCATTTTTGAGGGAGAGACTTTGTTGCTTCTGCCTTTGCTCTGTCATATGGATTGATTATATTTAATCTGAATTGGGTGTTAGTAAATACTACTGTATAATAATAGTCTGTTTTGGAACTACAAATTTGGGGATATTAAGATCTATGTTGAGGCTGGGCGAGGTGGTTCACGCCTATAATCCCGTCACTTTGGGAGACTGAGGTGAGAGGATTGCCTGAGCCTGTGGGTTTGAGACCCGCCTGGGCAACTTGGCAACACCTCATCTCTACAATAAAAATAAATAAATAATAAAATTAGCTGGGCATGGTGGCATATGTCTGTGGTTCTGGCTACTTGGGAGGCTGAGGCGGAAAGATCACCTGAGCCCAGCAGGTCGAGGTTTCAGTGGCTGGGAGCATTCCGGCCTGGGTGACAGTGAGATTCCAACTCAGAAAAAAAAGCCCAAATGCTTGCAAGTATAGGTGGCTCATGCCTGTAATCTCAGCACTTTGAGAGGCCAAGGCAGGAGGATAACTGGAGACCAGGATTCGTAGAATAGCCTAGGGAATATAGTAAGATCTTGTCTCTAAAAAAAAATTTTTAAAAATTAGTCGAGTGTGGTGGTGTACAACTATAGTCTTAGTTCTGTGGAAAGCAGAGGTAGAAGGATTGCCTGAGCCCAGGAAGTTAAAGCTGCAGTAAACCATAATTGTACCACTGCACTCCAGTTTAGACAACAGAGTGAGATCACCAACTTTAAAAAAAAAAAATGGAAAAAAGACGTCGAATGAGTGTTTCCCTGGAGAAACAAGAAACTTCAGAAAAAGAAGAAACTTGTGAGTCTATTCTTCATTTTTCTTTGTGTCATTTTGTCTAATGGAAAGTCTACATTTTTGTCTTAGCAGCTGCCATTTTATCTGGCAATATTTTTGTTTGTTTCTAAACTTATGCAGGGTTCTTTTTTTTAAATTTTGGACTGGTTGTAGTTTGATTTAGATTTCATTTCCCACATTTCCTAGGTTTGCTTTTTATTTATTTTTATTGTTTTACCTTTTATTTTTTGAGTTGGAGTCTCGCTCTGTCACTCAGCTGGATGGAGTACAGTGGCATGCTCCCAGCCACTGCAGCCTCGATCTGGTGGACTCAGGCTCTCCTTCCACCTTAGCCTATAAGTAGCTGTAACTACAGGTGTGTGCTACCATGCCTGGCTAATTTTTGATTTATCGTAGAGATGAGGTCTTGCCAAGTTGTCAGACTAGTCTTGAACCCCTGAACTCAGGCAGTCCACTCGCCTTGGCCTCCCAAAGTGCTGGGATTACAGGCTTCAGCCACTGCACCCAGCCTTTATTTTTTAAATTAATTAATTTAATTTTTTTTTATTTTAAAGATGTGGGTACAATTCAAGTTTAGGTAATACAAATGGTCATCGTACAGGTAAAGTTTAGGCCTCCCTTTGGTTGCAGGATATGTTTCTGAGTACACTTAAATATAACTGACAGGAAATCAATTGGCAGTATTTACTTAGTTGTATTTGTGTTACTAGAAAACCAGAGCCAGAACAAAGGCTCCTTGCCTAAGCACTTTGAGACTAATGTTTCTGTACTTGTTAAAAAACTAATACAATGAGCTGGGCTCGGTGGCTCAGCCTGTATTCCTGCACCTTGGGAGGCTGAGGTGAGTGGATTGCCAACTAAAAAAAAAACCTCAAAAAACAAACAAACAAACAAACAAAAAACTAATATAATGACTGGGCATGGTGACTTACGCCTGTAATCTCACTCTGCTGGGTGACAGAGTAAGATTCCGAGTGACTCAAAAAAAAGAAAAAATATAATAGTTCCCATTTGTTAACATTTAAATGGTGATTTCCAAATACATTAATTGCAAAAACATAATGTTCAAGAAGGTGTAAGCTTGCAATTCTGAAATCCAAAGAACTTGGGAAACTTATTCTTCTCTGATAAATTTAGGAAATCTACGGACTGAAAGGTAGAAGTTTGAATGTTCACACATTTTTCTTTTTCTTTTTTTACTTTTTTTTTTTTTTTTTTGAGTTGGAGTCTTCACTCTGTCGCCCAGACTGGAGTGCATTGGCCGCTCCCGGCCACCGCAGCCTCAACCTGTTGGGCTCCGGCGGTCCTTCTGCCTCAGCCTTCCAAGTAGCTGGAACTACAGGCGTGCGCTACCATGCCCGGCTGATTTTTTGATTTATTATAGAGATGAGGTCTCGCTGCCCAGGCGGGTCTTGAACCCCGGGGGCTTAGGCAATCCACTCACCTCAGCCTCCCAAAGGCACGGGATTATAGGCTGAGCCACTGAGCCCGGCTAGAAGAACAACTTTATTGAGATAAAGCCTACACCATAGAATTCATTCATTTAAACTGTATATACTGTAGTTTTTAGTGCTTTCACAGATACATGCAGTCATCTTCACAGCCAATTGTATAGAACATTTTGTCACCTTCAGAAAGAGACTCCATACCTTTCAGCTGTCAACTCTCTGTCTCCCCATTCCTTCTAGTTTCTAGCCACCAAGTAGTCTTTCTATCTGTGTAGCCTATTTTGGACATTTCATAAAAATCGTATCATATAATACATAGTTTTTTTGTCTAACTTCTTTCATTTAGCATAAAATTTTCAAGATTTGTCTATATTTTGGCATATAGTAGTAATTTATTGCATTTGTTGCCAGACAAAATTCCACTGTATTGATAATTTACATTTTGTTTATCCACCTGTCAGTCAATTCATGGACATTTGAGTAGTTTGTACCTTTTGACTGTTATAAATAATGATGCTATAAAAATTTATGTACAAGTTTTTGATTGAGCATATATTTCCATTTCTCTTTGGTATATACCTCTGAATGAAATTGCTGGGTCATGTGTTAACTATGTTTAACCTTTGTGGAACTGTCGGATACTTTTTCAGAGGGGCTGCACTATTTCAAATTTTTATCAGTGGTGCATGATGGTTTTAGTTTTTCCACATACTTGTCTGACTTTTGGCTTATAACTATGCTGTTGGGTATGGAGTAGTATCTCATTGTGGTTTTGATTTCTATTTCTCTGATGGCTAGTGATATTGAGCATCTTGTCATGTGTTTATTGGTCAGTGTATTATTATTTGGAGAAACATCTGTTTATATCCTTTTGCTATTTTAAAAATTGAGTTGTGTGGGGTTTTTTTGTTTTGTTTTTTTGATTTGAGTTGGAGTCTCACTCTGTTGCCCAGACTGGAGTGCAGTGGCGTGTTCACGGCCACCACGGACTCAACTTGCTGGGCTCAGGTGATCCCTCCACCTCAGCATTTCAAGTAGCTGGAACCACAGTTGCATGCCACCATGTCTGGCTATTTTTTTCATTTATTGTAGAGAGAAGGTCTCACCAAGTTGTCCAGGCTAGTCTCGAATCCCCAGGTTCAGGCAATCCTCTTGCCTCTGCCTCCCAAAGTATTGGGATTACAACACCTGGCTGAGTTATATTTTTATTATTGAGTTGTATGAGTTCTTGATATATTCTGGATCAAAGTCCCTTATCAGGTACATTTGCAAATATTTTCTCCCATTCTGCGGGATATCTTTTCAGTTTCTTGATGGTGTCTTCTTGAAGCATAAATGTTTTTAATTTTAATTTTGATGAAATACAATTTATCTAGTGTTATTACTTTGTAAAGAAATGGGGTGTTTCTTTAAAAACAAGACATTTGTGTTTCTGTTTTGCCTAGGCTGGATTGCAGTGATTATTCACAGGTGCTTTTATAGCACTCTGGGCTTAAGGGATTCTCCTATTTCAGCTTACCGTAAGCTGGGACTACAGGTGCTTGCTAGCTCATCTGGCTTAGTTATTTATTAGTTTTCTGTTGTGCTGGTGCTGTTGGTGTCATCATAGCTAGCAATCCATTGCTGAATCCCAGATTGTGCAGATTTATCTCTAGATTCACTTGTAAGAATATATACTTCTACCTGCTACCTTTATGTCTTTAGTTCATTTTTGAGTTAATTTTTGTATACACTGTGAGTTAGGTGTCCACCATCATTCTTTTGCATGTGTGTCTATCCAGTTGTCTCAGAAGGAGAGGTTTAATTTTTCAAATGACTTTCTATAATCAGTTAATCATGTTTCTACATGTTGAATACAGTCGATCTCAAAAATTCCAAAGAATATTATTTGGAAATTTGGGACTTTCTTAAAATATTTTTTAAACATCCTGAATTCATTTGGATTTTTCTTCTATCTCTTAAACAGTGAGATAGGGTATTTTTTTTTAAGATTTAAAAATTTTTTAGACTGTGTTTATTTAGTTTTGACTAGTGCTAGGTGTTTTTTCCTCTTCTTTCCTTCCTTCCTTCCTTCTTTCTTCTATGTTGCCCAGCTGAACTCCTGGGCTCAAGGGATCCTTCTTCCTCAATCTCTGGAGTATTTGGTATAATAGGTAGGCTTCACTGTGCCTGGTTTCTTTTTAACACTAGGTTAAATTTACTTTTGTAGGAGCTGTTTGTAAAGATATTCTGATTTGTTTAAGTTGGAATTTCAAAAAAAATTTTGAAAGACAAGTCCCTGTGGGTTAGAACTGATGATAAAGGGACTATAGCTATTTCCAAAGCAACTGTATTTTGTTTTATTTAATTAATTTATTTGTTTTTGAGTTGGAGGTCTCACTGTGTTTTCCAGGCCTTAGTGTAGTCACAGGATCACAGCTCACCGTAGCCTGGGCTTAGGTGATCCTTCTACCTCAGCCTCCCGAATAACTGGGACTATAGGTGTTTGCCACCACGTGGCTAATTTTTTGTAGAGATGTGGTCTCACTCACTAGGCTGATTTTGAACTCCTCGGCTCAAACAATTTTCCCATCTCGGCCTCTCAGAGTGCTGGGATTATAGGCATGGACCACTGTGCCCAGGTAGCAAGTGTATTTTCAAAAGTGTTTCTTTTGAGACATCATGTATAGTATCTTTGTGAAATAAGGTGTACTTCAAAAGTTCTGCCAGTATACAATTTAACTTCCTTTCTCTTTGTCAAAACTATGTAGAAATAAGAGACTGGACACGGTGGTTCTGCCTGTAATCCCAGCCCTCTGGGAGGATTGCCTGAGCCCACGGATTCAAGACCAGCTGGGCCAACTTGGGAAGACCTCCTCTCTACAATAATAGCCAGGTGTGGTGGCACACATCTGTAGTTCTGGCTACTTGAATGACTGAGGTTGAACCCAGCAGGTTGAGACTGTGGTGGCCATGAGGGTGTCACTGTACTCTAGTTTGGGTGACAGAGTGAGACTCCGACCACCCCCCCAAATTATTTGTAGAAATAAGCAGCAAGTAGAGAAGGTATAAGTTGACAGACATTGCCATATTGGTCTAAAATGTAATAAGAAATAATACAGGCAGTTTATTTTGCTTATACTAGCTCTGTCATGTCTTTCTTTCTTTTCTCCCTTCTTTCTCTGATAAACGTTATTTCATTTATTTATTTATTTTGAGTAGGAGTCTCACTCTGTCACCCAGGCTGGAGTGCAGTGGCACGCTTATGGCCACTGCAACCTTGACCTACTGGTCTCAGGCAGTCCTTCCACCTTAGCCTTCCAAGTAGCTGGAACCACAGGTGTGGTTCCACCTCCTCACCCTGCTAATTTTTTTGATTTATAGTAGAGACAAAGTCTTGCCAAGTTGCCCAGGCTGGTCTTGAACTTCCGGACTAGGTAATCCTCTTGCTTCTGTCTCCCAAAGTGCTGAGATTACAGACATGAGCCACTGTGCCCAGCCAACTTTGTTTTAAAACAAAAAGAAGGGAAGAAAGAATACAGAAAATGACCTTTAGCATTACTTGTTTTCATTTTCTGATGTCAGTTACCTTTTTTTTTTACACCTAGAAAGCAGTGTTTGTATGATTGTATTTTCCCCCTTGCTCTTCCTTTCAGTGAGGAAATGATGACTTGAGTTTATTACTTTAAGAATATTGCTCTTGCTAAGCATTAGGATAATAGATTTTCTTACAGTGGAGTGGGGCAGGGTTTAGGAACAGTCAACTGGGAATAGTAAGTGGAACATTACTATTTAGGCAAACTGCACAAGATTTCTTTTTACTTTCACTTCTTGTTTTCTAATTTGTGAAAATACACTT